AGTTGCAAGGGAACACATTGGGAATGTACAGTATTCAGATCCAAAGAAATGAGAGGTCCTTTGGACCTAGCGTGGACACCTTCTTTGTACCTGTTGGAGCTGCAGCTTTTTCTGATCTTACATGGTAGCCTCGCAGGCTCAGCAAAATACTTGTTTTGAGCTTAGAGATATTTGGCAGGGTTTGCGACCATATGTCACCACTCTTCTACCACCTCCTAAATGCTGATACATATAGGGTGTACCAAAAGTCAGGCCACATAGACAACTTCTTATACAATTTACAATCATTTTTTGAATTGGCTTGTTTTGAGCTTAGAGATATTTGGCAGGGTTTGCGACCATATGTCACCACTCTTCTACCACCTCCTAAATGCTGATACATATAGGGTGTACCAAAAGTCAGGCCACATAGACAACTTCTTATACAATTTACAATCATTTTTTGAATTGGTTGTCATTTTCTTCTAAACACTTCCTTACTCATTTGATGCATGACCTTTGAACATTGCTAAATAGAGTAATTTTCTCTGAAAACAATAAAAATAAAATATATTGTGACTGGCCTACAGGGTCTGACTTTTGCTGCACCCTGTACTTTCCTAAACTCATATGGCTACTATGCAATCTGAAGAAAATGTATGGTTCTTTTCAGGATGTACCAAAAGGAACAGCAAAGATACCTACACTAATTCTAAATTTCACCCTTTTGTACATGCACCATGATGTTTCACACATGTCCAAAAGGGGCAGAGCTTACATTACTGCAGGTCAAGCATTACATCTAGCAGAATTTCTGCTGAAAGGGAGGATCAGTCCTCAGTTTGGGGAATAAAAGAACTGTTGCAAACTGAGAATCTTCTCCAACCTGGTACCTTCCTGATCTGTTGAACTACACCTCCAATTGCTCTCAACTATGCTTGTTGCGATGATGAGAACTAGTCAAACACATCGGGAAGGCACCAGGTGGATAACGCTTGTGTAAAGAGCTAGCAAAATAAGAGGGGGAAAGGAAAGGAAAGGTATGCATTTTAAGTCTTGGCCTCCTATGCGTGCTTGTGCCCGATTTCAGATGCCTGTGTGCACATTTGTGATACCGTCGTACATGCCAGGCGATTATCACACGTTGTGCAGACACTAAGGAGACCTCCCGAAGAACAACTTAATTCCGTCCCTCAATTCGGAATCGTTTGAAAGGTGGATAGGCAGTTTCCGAAGCCAATCAGAATCAAAGGATCCCGCAAATCGTAAACCGCCCGCCTCTAGAGATTCTCCGGTGCAGAACAGAAATTCCCTCCGCTCGGGACCTCGCACCGTCCCAACCGAGACGCTGCGAGCTGAGCCCGAGGCGGCTACTCGGTCACACGACTGCAACTTGTTTAACGTATTGGATGTACCACAAAAAGAAAACATTTGCCGGGATCCACCCTTACCGTGCTGAAGGTACTAGAACCACCGGTCCCCGGGTCTGCCATCTTGGATCCATAGAATATATGAGCATGCGTCGCTACGAAGAGTATTGTGGGACTTGTAGTTCCGAGACTTAGAAGGCGGGCTGAAAGCGCTCATCTTAGGTCTTACAGGAAATTGGGCTGTGTTAAAAGGCACCTTAAGTGGCACGCGATAGCTGTTATTCCGCCAGAGAAACGCGGGATGGGAACATGATTAGAAAGTAAGGTCAGCAATGAACAGGTTTAATTGTACCTCTCCAATAAGTTTGAATCCAAGTGAACCGAAATGGACGTGGTTGTGATTGGGTAATCCGGACCTGTGGAAGTGCAGCTCCCGGATTCCCAGCAGACCGTTCCGTGAATTTGGTGGACCGCACCTTAGGAAAAGCTGTGACTGGTGTCTAACGTATATGATTTGCCAATAGAGGCGAATATGTGTAGCTCAGGGTTTAACTGTGGC